TACATAAAATCTCTAAAAGAAGCAAGACATATTGTCATTTGTAAATTGTATTATTGGAAATGGTTGACCAAAACATAAACTATAATAATGTATGTTATTTCTTTATTAGCTCAAAGTATCAAAAAACATTTGTCTCTAAAGCTCTGTTTTACAAAGCTCTTTAACACTTTGATATAATTTCTTACTTATTGCTCGGCTCATTTTCAGGTTCTTATTTAAGCAGAAAAAGTTCCCTGCTTGATGACACAGACATAAAAGGAGCACACCTGTGAGCTTTGGCCCCAAGTCACTGAATTTAGATTCAGAGCCTACGAAAGATTCAGAGTATTCAAGGATAAGATACATTCCTGTGTTTAAAATAACTGAAAACAAAAACAAAAAACTGGAGACCAACAGGTACATTCACTACTACATCGTTTTAAATGTTGAAGTCATAGGCTACGATACAGATTTACCACAGCAACGTATCATATACTTCACTTGAATGAAAGCACTAAACACAATGTGGATGGCTCTAAATCATGAATTACACATGCTTTTAAATTTGGCATCAATGCTGTTAAAGAGGACACATGCCTGACTTACCCAGTGATGCAGGAATGCATATCTGGTTAATAATGTTCTCAAAACAAAGTTAGTGTGCACAAAAGAAAGAACAGGCTTGTCTTNGTGTGTGTGTGTGTGTGTGTGTGTGTGTGTGTGTGTAGCACTTCCCTGTTAAAAGATGGAGTTTTACTCACCTAAAATGGAAACCTTAAAAATGAGCAAAAGCATTCTGTATAATAATGTATGGTTGGTTTCCTTTATACTACCTCTAAATTTATTTTGTGAGAATAAGGTGATGAAACCCTGTTTCATTATTGAGGTGTAACTGGACAAAAGTCTTTAAAGTCTCTTTAAAGTTTGTTATTCTATATGAGTTATTTTAGATCAAAGTCTCCACAATGTTTTGCCTGTTATAACAAGCAATATCCCCTATCAAGACATATATTTCAAATAGTATCAACAGTTTTTTTGGATGATTTGTAATGTTCTTCCCTACTCCAAAATTCTATAATTCTAATTAAATATTCAAATTTTCTTAATATATGAGCTAAGGACTCTGGAGAATTACATTATTCTCTAAATTCACTGCCCAATACAATTTAAGCAATACCCTCTTACTAGCATTAATGTTCTGATGCTTATATTAAAAACAATTTAGATATACAAAAATATATTCTTAAATGGATAAATAAGATAAAATCATTATTTTAGAAAAGGAATCATCTTTCTAAAATCCAGTATGTCATAATTTAAGCGTTTTTCTATTCATGATCAATTTCCGTAAAGCATCTAAATTTATAGTTATACTACCTCATTCTTTCAACTATCAGACTGTGGAGTGTCCTTTCTGAGCTCTTCTCTAAGGATAAATTAATTTACTAGAAGTCTAATAAAATCCTTGTTTAGCTTACCAGCTATTCAATGCCATCACTGTTTACAGAATGTACACAGAACAATTGTCATCACAGAGCCAAGAGTACAGACATACAAAGAAGCTGGGACTTTCATTAGTAATAAATGTAATGGCTAAATTGATTAAATGCAGGAGTTAATACATAAATATTTACTCTTCTAGTAAGTTTTGTGGATTGTACCCAGAACTGATGGGCATGTAGACTAAAGGAGAACTGCGGAACAAACACCATTTCTAAACAGTCACATAGCCTTCTATGTATATCATAGCAATGAGGTAGCTGCTTAATGACTGATTTTATGCAGTAAATTATGGTCTTTCCAAGTTCTGTGGCGATGAATGAGGAGCATCCAGT